TGGTGTCCTCTCTCTTTATTTGTAGTTTATTAGTAGCATATCACTATTAATTAATTTAAAGTTAACTGCCTTTATAAAACTACTTACTCTTCCATGATTCCCACTCGCATTTCTCTTTCCTATCCACCTCTCTCATACACATTTGCCTCACACCTGTCTCGCACACTCCCATGCCCAAAACTGCAAAACAAAAAATATTTTTTAGGTGTTACATTTGCGCATTAAATTGCTAATGTATTAAATTACACATTAAATTAAATCAGTTAAGCTTTGATAATTATAAACTTGCTCTAACAACATTTGAAGTTGGAGATACCTATGCGTTAGGAATGATGGCACCAAATTCAATTGCTGATTTTGCAGTTTAGGGAATTGTCACAGAATGAAATTAACTGTTGATCACCCTTTCGGTTGGCCATTGTGATCTGTGTTTCTTAGATTGGAAGCATTATCAAAACAATAAAATATGTGTGAAGAGCTAATGTGATGGTTGTAACTGGTTTCTTTTCCAATGTTGCATGTTATTTGCAAGTTCAATGTCGCTTGTTGGTCTTACTGTGTTGTTTTCTAACCCAATTCTGATCATCGATTGTTTTTTATTTTTGTTGCAGTTGGTGATCTGAATCACTTGATCTCTGCGACAATGAGTGGGGTCACTTGCTGCCTCCGATTCCCTGGTCAACTGAACTCTGACCTTCGAAAGCTTGCTGTAAACCTGATTCCATTTCCCCGTCTGCACTTCTTCATGGTGGGATTTGCTCCCCTGACTTCCCGTGGGTCTCAACAATACCGTGCACTTACAGTCCCTGAGCTGACCCAACAAATGTGGGATGCTAAGAACATGATGTGTGCTGCTGATCCACGACATGGCCGCTACCTCACTGCCTCAGCTATGTTCAGGGGCAAAATGAGCACAAAGGAAGTGGACGAGCAAATGATTAATGTTCAAAACAAAAACTCTTCTTATTTTGTGGAGTGGATTCCGAACAATGTGAAGTCAAGCGTCTGTGACATTGCACCCAAGGGGCTTTCAATGGCATCCACCTTCGTCGGCAATTCAACCTCCATTCAGGAAATGTTTAGGAGAGTGAGCGAGCAATTCACTGCTATGTTCAGAAGGAAGGCTTTCTTGCACTGGTACACTGGGGAAGGGATGGATGAGATGGAGTTCACAGAAGCTGAGAGCAATATGAATGATCTGGTGTCCGAGTACCAGCAGTACCAGGATGCTACTGCTGATGAGGAAGGCGATTATGGAGATGAGGAAGAGGAAGTCATAGAGTAAGTGTGAAGTGAAAAGACTTGAAGAAGAAAGCCAGTGCCCCTTGCTGCTGCATTGTGGAATTTGATGCATCCTATATCTAAACCATTATGTTGTCTAGAAATCTTCTTTCTTTTTTGTATTGGGTGAAGATGGTCTGAAACTACGTGGTTTTTACTCTTCGAGTCGGTAAGTATCGAGAAAGATATGAGAGTTTGAGAGAAGGGTGTGTCGATTTCAAGTTTTGTTTCTGTTACATCTTCTTGTATCGGATTTCTGATTGATTATTGTCACTATGCATATGGTCTAGTAAATTTCTGCTTATGATATCGTATCCTCTTCAGAAATTATATCTTCAATTGCCCTCTTCATATTAATTTGTGCCTTGTGTTGCCTTCCGAGTAAAGAACAAATTGGAATGGGATGCTCATATGTTCCTCTTGAAGGAAATATAGGGTCGTTTAGTAACGTTTCTGTTTTTGCGTCCTCAAAAAAAATTAAAAACTGAGACAATTTTTGTTTATGTTTTATGGTAAATATTGAAATATAGAAAACATATTTGTGAATCATTTGTCTATCAAATTATGAAAATAAAAATAAAAAATATGTTTGGTAATTATTTGAAGATATATTCGTAAGTCTCCTGTTCTTTCTTTCAACAATAATATTGGGACTTGATAAATTGAATTAATTTGATAAATTAATGATATGTTTAACAGTCCCAAATGACAATTCAATCCCAAATAACAATTCAAACAATCGTAAATGACAATTCAACAATCCCAAATAACAATTCAATCTCAAATGACAATTTAATCACAAATGACAATTCAATAAAATAGCAATTAAATCAATCCTTTGAATTTTTTGACATTTCTTCAAGATTTTCATTGATATGTTTGTTTTTTGGTATGTTTTTCTAAATTGATCATGATTTCTGATCGATTACAGAGGAAAATTCTCCCAAATCTGCTTGATATTGTTAGAAAATTTGCATAATCGTCTTCGAGTTTCTTGAAATCGTCATCGTCCTCTCGACACACAGATTCAACACAACACACACACTCATAACTCACACACATGTAGACTCAACACAACACACACACACGCACACACATACACACGGACTCATCATTCTCATACACACACACACACACACAGATCTTCTCGGTTTCACAGAGAATGAGAGCGAGACACAGAGAGAGTATCATTTGAGGTCTTGGTTTGAGGGATCGATCATCATCTTCGTATGAGGTCTTTGTTGTCTATGAGAGAGAGAGAGAGAGAAAGAGGAAATGAGAGAGTAAAAAAAACAAAAAAAGAAAACCTTCAAAGGGTTTTTATAGTAAACACAAAAAAAAACTCTTATTGTTGTTGCTAATGGGATTCGAATGGGGGATCTCATTAAATAAGCACTATGAGCGCACGTGATTCCAAAAAATATGTTTCCTAGAACATTTTTTTTTGTTTCTTGTTTTTGGGCCTTGTTTCCCAAACATCATTTTTTCTTATAAATATAAAACAGAAACACAAATCCAAACATGTTTTTGTTTTTATTTTGCCTAAAAAACGAAAACAAAAACACCAACAAAACAACCCCATAGTTTTTCAATTGAGTAATACTATTGAAATTTTAAAAATTGATTTAATTTGTTGAACTATTTGTGGTAGTGATATTGTCCAATAATGTTGTTGTGATTGTAACTCTTAGACTTTTTTATTGAGATTTTATTACTTTTTAGATCATTATGTTAATAAATTAAATCAATTTTTTAGACCGCAATAACATTATTCTTTTAATTATTACTTGTTGGGTTGGAGGGTTTGAAGAGTGATCTGAGCCCAAGAAACGAACAAAGCAAGAAACAGGGAAGCCCATGTGGGTAGGATGTATGTCTCTTGACATGAATTTGTTGGTGATTCTGTCAATTGGTTTGCCGAGCGAACAATCTGTTGAGATTAATTGATAGCACTAGAGTTGTAAAACAAATTAGGGTATCCAAATTTGTGGTTGGTAAGCAATTTTTGTCGAAAAGTAAAAGAGTTAGACAAAATGCTATTAGAGTTGGATTTCCTGACCGTAACTTTAGTTGAGGTTTTGCTTTTGTATTTATAGGCAATTTCTTTACATTAGAGATAATTATAATCCTAATTTATATACATGATTTGAATATAAAATTCTGCTACCTACATTTCTCTTTTGATCTAACAGATATCATGATTGAGCTTGATCCCCATTAGTTTGTTGTTTATCCTTAGCCTTATCACTTGATGATTCAATAGGCCCCTCAAGGTCAACGGGAGGTCAAGGATGTTGAACTTGGATCGCAAGGTTGTGTAATGAGTAGAAACAAGTATTTGGTAAGAACATTGGCAATTTGATCTTTACTGGAAGGAAACCGAATGGCGAGATCACAATGAGCAATCTTCTCGCGAATGAAATAATAATTAATGGAAACATGTTTTGTTTGAGCAAGAAGAACCAGATTGGCAGAGAGATAAGTGACAGCTGTGTTGTCACCTCATAACACAGGAGGAATAGACAAAAAAATTCATAAATCACGTAGAAGTAATTGAATCCAGATTAACTCAGCAGTAGAGTTGGCAAGTGCTCGATATTTTGTCTTTGTGCTAGAGTGCACAATAGTTGGTTGTTTGCGAGAACTCCTCGAAATTAAATTTGACCCAAAATACAAGTAATACCTACTCTTGGAGTAATGATCATTGGGGCAACCAGCCCAATCAGCATTCGAATATGCACTTAAGATAGTAGAAGAAAAAGGACGAAAAAGAAGGCCATGACTGATTGTATGCTTGAGATAGCATAATATGTGTTTCATAGCTAACCAATGCGACACTATTGGACAAAGCATAAATTGGCAAACACGGTTTACTGCAAAGGAAATATCGGGACGGGTCAAGGAAAGGTATTGCAAGGGCCCATTAGTACTACGTTACAAGTGCAGATCAGAAAAAGATGCATCGACAAGCTTGAAAAGAGGAGAAGTAGCCATGGGAGAAGTCATGGGTTTGGAAAGATGCATATTGGTTCACTTGAGAAGATTGAGAATATAGCATTGCTGACATAGATGCAGGCCACTAGATAAATGTCGAGCTTTGACACTTAGGAAATAATATAAAGAGTCTAAGTATTTCACACCAAATTCGCAATGTAGACTATTAATAAGAGAGGAATCGCTGTATCTTGAGAGACAATAACAAGAATATCGTCAACATAAACAAGGACAAAAATGTTCACACTTGGGCTGCCATAAATGAATAACAAAGAATCCGCTTTGGAAGACCAAATCAAGCTCAATAATCCTATTGGTGAGCCGAGAAAACCATGCTCGTGGTGCTTGTTCTAAGTCGTATAAGGCTTTGTTCAATTTACAAACCTGTATGTTGTTGCATAAAGACAGTTTCCATGAGGTAGCATGTAAAAAAGCATTTTGAATATTGAGTTGGTGAATTTGCCAACCTCGAGAAACAACAAGAGAAAGAAGTAAGCAAATGGTTTGAGGATTGATGACCAAACTGTATGTCTCATCGTAATCAACACCCTGTTGTTGAGAAAATCCTATAGCGACTAATCGCGCTTCATACCTCTCAATAGAACCGTCAGAATGTCGCTTTAATTCGAAAACCCATTTGCAGTCGATTATCTTCATAGACGATGTTGCGGGAACAAGACTTCAAGTATTGTTAGGAATCCATCAAATTCTAAATTCATGATCGATCACCACGACGGGTGTGTTGCGGCTGAAGAGTAACAAGTTGGTTCAATTTCATCGAGTGAAGAAGTAGCCAACATTGCTTGAGGAAGAGGATAAAGAGCATCCCCATTAGTGTATTGTTTTTCTTTAACAATATTGTTGTGCAATCGGGTGACCATGAGATGAATGGAATGGTGAGGGAATGTTGTGGTAGTTGTTGAGCATGAGGAGTCAGCTAGTGGATGATCAGAAGAGGGACATGAGGAGTCCTTTAGACAGGGTGCACTATGGTTGAACATAGGAGCAGTGGTTGAAACTGAAGTGTGATAGACCAGAGCAGAGGTAGTAATAGACACATAAATTGTGGGGACAACTGAAAAGGTAAACCTCAAGCTTGACCTGCTGTGAGGATATCTTGATATTTATAGAAATATTTATAGGGCAATCTTATCATAAAAACAGAACAACTATTTGAAATTCAAAAAGCAGCTATACAAGTAAAGAATCCTCTTGATTGTCTCCAGATTCTCCTCTAACGGATTCTCCTCTAATACCCCCCCTCAAAGTTGGTGTGGTGGAATGTGGAAACACACACAACTTGGCACAATCCAGGAGATACTGTAATTTAGCAACCCCTTTAGTGAAGACATCTGCGAATTATAGTTGAGAGGGAACGAACGCCAAAGTGAGAACCCATTGAGCAACAAGCTCTCTAACAAAATGGTAGTCAATGTCGATGTGCTTAGAGCGAGATTGGTGACAGGATTTGTTGCTATAAATATAGCACTGTTATTATCACATAGCAGTTTTGGAGGAGAGGAGAGTTGGATATGTAGTTCACGGAATAGCTGAAGTGTCCAGGAGAGTTCGACAGCTACAAATGCAAGAGCCTTGTATTCTGCCTCAGTGTTGGAACGTGAGACGGTAGTTTGCTTCTTAGAACACCATGAAATTAAATTTCAACCAAAATAAACAGCAAAATCTGTAGTAGACTGTCGAGTATCAGGGCAACCCGCCCAATCGGCATCAGAGTAACCAATAAGAGTTGAGCAAGGATCCCGTGACAGCTGAAGACCATAGTGATAGGTGTCTTTAACATATCGTAAAATACGCTTCAAGGCACGAAAGTGATCAATAGTAGGAGCATGCATATATTGACAGATGGAATTAACACTATAAGACAAATTAGGAAGTGTGAGAGTCAAATATTGCAAGGCTCCAGCCAATGAGCAAAATTGTGTTGCATCTGAATATGCTATCCCAGTGCTGGAAAGATGAGAACCGACCATAAAGGGTGTGGAAATTGGTTTGCAATCCACCATTTCAGCGCAAGTCAAAAAATCTAGAGCATATTTTGGCTTGACTCATAAAAAAACCTTTATCATTGCGAATAACCTCAACACCAAGAAAATAGTGGAGATCACCCAAATCTTTCATAGAAAATTCAGTGGCAAGACGATCAATAAGAGTACGAAGCATGGTTGGATTGTTGCCAGTAATAACCATATCATCAACATACAAATGGAGATAAATAACACCATGTTGACCGTGATAGATAAAGAGAGACGAATCTGCACGACTCGTAAGAAATCCAAGACTAAGCAAAAAATTACTAAAACGCTGAAACCAAGCCCTTGGAGCTTGTTTAAGGCCATAAAGGGCACACTGTAAATGACAAATGTGATTTGGGAATTGAGGATCAATATAACTTGGGGGTTGTTCCATATAGAATTCCTCGGAAAGAAAGCCATGTAGAAATGCATTTTTTACGTCAAGTTGATGAAGACACCAACCATGGATGGTAGCAAGAGACAAGATAATCTGAATAGTAGCAGTGCGAACAATTGGACTAAAAGTGTCTTCAAAATCAATGCCATGCTTCTGAGAAAAACCTTGTGCAACTAAGCGAGCTTTGTGACGCTCGATAGTTCCATTGGATTGAAGTTTTGTTTTGAATATCCACCGACAGCGACAATATTATGAGCAGAAGGATGAGGTACCAGGCGCCAAGTGCTATTTTGCTTAAGTGCAGTAATTTCATCATCCATGGCAGAGAGCCATTCGGGATGTTTGACAGCTGATTTAAATCCGCGCGGCTCTTTAATGGCAAGATGTACCTGAAACCATTGAGGAGCTGACAAAGCAATTAATGAATGAATAGTGCGAGGCTTAATAATACCGTCCTTTGCACGAGTAATCATTGGG